TTTTCCCTTTACATCCTCCCCAACCCCTTTTATCATGGTTATTAGAGCCCATTTTACAGTAGGGTTCCCAGAGTCCTACCCTTACACCAGGGTCCCCAGAGCCCCCTCCTATATCAGTGTTTCTGGAGTCCCTCCTTACATCAAGGTCCTCAGAGTTCCCCTCCTCTTTACATAAGGGACCCCAGAATCACCCCTTTACATCAGGGTCTCCAGAGTTCCCCTACATCAAAATCTACCCTCTCATTGCAGTCCTCAGAGCCCCGCACCTTAGATCAGGGTCCCCAGAGCCCCCTCTTATATCAAGGTCCCAAGTGTCCCCCGCTCCTAAAATCAAGGTCCTCAAACTCATCCCCTTAATTTAAAGTCCCCAGAATTCCCTCCTCTTATATCAGAGTCCTCAGAGTCACCCCTCTTTACATCAGGGTTCCCAGAGTCCCCTCACCATAAACCAGGGTTCCAAGATTCTCCCTTCCTTACATCATGTCCCCAGAGTCCCCCTCCTTACATCAGGGTCCCCAGAGTCCCCCTCCTTACATCAGGGTCCCCAGAGTTCCCTCTCCTTACATCAGAGTTCCCAGAGCCCCCCCCCCCCCGCTGTTTACATAAAGGTGCCCAGAGTCCATCCTCCTTACATTATGGTCCCCAGAACCTCTCCTTACATCATGGTCTCCATAGTTTCCCCTTACATTATAATCACCAGAGTCCCTCTTCCTTACATCAGGATCCCAAGAGCTCCCATTATGTCATGGTCTCCAGAGTCCCCCTTCCTAACATCAGGGTCCCCAGCATAACCCCCCCCCCCTCCTCCCAGAGTCCTCCTCCTTACATTATTGTCCCCATTGCCTCCCCTTGCATCTTCAGAGCACCCCTTAAATCATGGTCCTCAGACACCCCTATTACATCATGGCCCCAGAGCCCCCCCCCTTAGCTCATGGTCCCAATAGATTCCCTTTACTTAAGAATCCATTCCTTTTCAGTGCAGCTATAGGACAGGTGGAAGCTGAAAGGTGGGGCACTGGGACCGGGCAGGTCTGGAGTAAGAAAGCTCCATCTTTGCCCTCCTCCTCCCAGGGCATGTGGGTGGGTCAAGCTGGTGATTGGTTGCTAGGAAACTGGCAGTCCTAGTAACCAACCACTATACAGTAGTTGATAGCAGTGGGCAGTGGTGATGGGTGAATGCTGTCAGTCTGTGTTTTTTTATAGCTAGCTCTGTGCTATCATAGCTTACAGTTGTTTTTGTAGTTTTTCAGTTTCCAGTTGATTAATGTCAGTGACATTCAGGTGATTTCAATGTTTCAGTAGCTGTCAGCTTTTTTTTTCTACCTGCAGCCCTCCCTACAGTTTTTTTATAAACTGTATCTATTGTTCCTCTTTCTCTCACAGGTAGGATGTAACTTAAAGCACTCAATCAAGGGTCCCCTAAAAGATAGGCATGTATGTGGCATGCCCTTTTGACATTATATAAGAACAGTCTATCAGATCATCCCAACATTGGAAAATCAGTTGGTATTTCAGCATGAGCCTCCACTACAAGCCATGATCAAGCTGCTGCCTGCTATGTTCAGGTGACATCTTTCTGAAGCCTGTTATAAGTTCTTCTATGTAATTACAACAAAAATTGCTGTTTTTTTCAGTATATGCTATAACAAGAAAGTGTATTCAAGAAAATTGTCTATTTATTTCTGTGACAACTTTTGGGCTCCAAGCAATATGGATTGGTCACCTCCTTGTTCCCAATCGCTGGCTGGACATTGACAAATACGTTTAAATAAAAAAATATATTTTTTAATGGATGCCTAATTGCGTGAATTTATATTTAAATTTTGGTCCAGGGTTGACTACAGACTGTTAGATCTTTTGGACATTTTGCTTGTTAAACTGTTAAAGGACAATTTTCTATTGGACTTATTGGACTGCTATTGTTAATGATTTATCATATTTGGGACTTTATATATATAAAAAAAGATTGTAATTAGGAAGAAGATTGGGGGTCCCCTGAGACTAGCACTTTGGCTGTGTGCTTGGATTTTCACATTTTTAGCAAGAAGTACTTTATTTCTATTGTAAGTAAGACACGGTATTTAAATATTGTACCCAATCAGTAATAAAATACTGGAAAAAATCTTGAACCATAAAACAGTAATAAGCTAAACATGTCCTATAGTAAAAATACACTTACTTTACCCCTCTAAAATACAAATCATGTTCTTCAGCTGATTTTTTTATATTATTGTTTTAAAGGCAAGCTGGTTCATGGTTGAGCAGTATTGAACTAATCTTTGTTTCTATAAAAAAAATACAACCTCAATATTTACATTGCAAAAACAGTTGTATAATGTACAAATAAAAATGAAAACAGAAAATTATAAAATCTTTCTTTAATTAAAGGTAATTGTGTGAAACTATATAAAATCTTTCTTTAATATAAGTTAATTGCATGAATATATACAAGTCAGAATTATGTTAGGATAATAAAGGTCTGTGAAGTCGGTACTTTTTTGTGTGTTGTGCAACCTTGAACTGTGTGAAGTTCATCTTTATCTTTGAGTCATTTAATTGTGAAGGGATGAATGCCAATTACACTGAATAACATCGCTTTTTTGTCAGCAACATTTTACACATGTATCATTATTTTCTGTGTCAGTGTTTTTGCCTTACAATATTGCTGATAATCAGAATTCCTATTTAAACAGAAGATATGTCAGTCAATACATAGCTGAAATCCATAAAGTTCAATCAATAGGAAAAGTGGACAACTTTCCTTAAAACTTTTAATTGATCAGGTGTTTAGAATTCTGCAGATCATTGGATATGCTTATATATTGTCTGATGTCCCAGGCACATGATAATTCTGCTCCATTCTCCTTTTATTCTATTAAATGACTTCCTTTTCATTAAACGTGATTGAAGCGTATTGACATGGTACTGACTTGCGTGTTTATCCACAACCCCATCTCACATATTCTCTTGTGCACATTTTGGTATATTTGCATAAATGACACAAAATTCTTGGTTCCCCAGAATCTACATGTTTTATGCTTTATATATTTCAGAGATATAAACTATTTTTTTTTTTCTATCAAAACATACTGAGTGGTCAGAACACATAATTTAAGAAGCTGGACCAGCAGAAATAATACTTAAAAAAAGAAAAAAAAAAACTTTGTCCTTGTTTCACACATTTTGAGGGCTTCTGCAATTCAGTGGACAGAGAGGTTGATTTACTAAAGGTAAATAAACAGTGCACTTTTAAAAGTGCAGTTGCGCTCTGCATGTGCAGTTGCTTCAGAGCTTAGTAAATGAGGTAAAGTTTCACTTTGCAAAGACTACCCAATCACGTGCAAGAAACATAAAAAATACAGCATTTTTGCTTGCACATAAGTGGATAATGGAAGTCAGCAGAGCTTCTGCTCATTTACTAAACTCTGGAGCAATTGCACTTGCAGAGCGCAAATGCACTTTTAAAAGTGCACAGTTTATTTGCCCTTAGACAATCAAACTCATTGCATCACATATATGTTTTCATATGAACTGCTTGCTTCTGAAGTATTGTGTAAATGTAACACTTACAGGCATTTTTCACAGGGATCACAGTACTCCCATGATATTACTTTTATATGCTTTTGTCCCCAGGAGGATGGCAGAATCGTTGTTTAGCTATTGTCCAAGGTTAATGTCTTCTTCCTTGGATGAGAAATGACACAACCATGTAAATCTTGTGCCTGTGCAGGTTTTGCTCACAAATTTCGGACAAAGACCAGCCCCTACTCCAGTCTTCCACTCTGCTAAAAAATTATAATGTTATTGTCTGATGACTGGGGAGAAGAAAACAAGGAAATGCTTCTGCCAACAAAAGACTAATGGCATCATGATCCTAGTGTGTGCAACAGCATTGGACCAGTGTATGGTCTGGTATTATTGGAAGTGCTAGCTATGTCATCCTTTATGGGGGTTAGTAACAAATGAAGATGTGGAGTAGGAGGGCCCTGTTAGGGTCCCAAGCTGCTGCTTCTCTTATTGATGGAAACAATGGAAAAAGTATTCTGTAAAATGTTGAGGTGTGCTTGGTATAAGGCCCCATTCGCACTATGACAGTTTAAATCGTGGTGGTTCTGCCTGCAATTTCAAAATGCTCTGCTAAAATGACAAATTGTGAAACTGCATTTTCAGGTGCCATTCATTTTAATGGCACTTGAAAATGCATTGCAGTTTTGCAGCGATTGTCGCACAATGAATTATGCTGCAATTGCGGTGAACCACATCTTCTGAAGCATGTTGCCCAAAAGAAGTTCAGGAATATCTTTTAGGCGACACACTTTTTAGCACAATAGATCTTGCAACAATAGCAGCAAACTGCATTGTGCAATAGTGGAAGAACAGCACCATGTTTTTAGGTGTCATTTTAGTGGAACATTTTTGAAATCATAGGCAGAATCGCCACAGTTTAAAATACCATAGTTTGAATGGGGCCTAAAGGTCCATCACACTTCAAGTCTGGGCACTTTCACCCCTTTCCAGTCCAGGCCAATTTACAGCTTTCAACACTATGACACTTTGAGTGGCAATTATTCAGTCATGCAGCAATGTACCTATATGAAATTTGTATAATTTTTTTGGGACATATAGCTTTCTTTTAGTGGTGTTTGATCACCACTGGGTTTTACATTTTTGCTATATAACTTAAAAAAATTAACATTTTGAAAAAAAAATAATTGTTTGCTTTGTTTTTGTTATAAAATTTTGCAAATAAATAATTTTTCTTCATACATGTAGGTCAAAATGTATTCTGCTACATTTTCGGGGTAAAAATAACTCAGTTTACAGTTTATATTATTTAGTCTGTGTGAAAACTATAGAGTCTACAAGCTATATCTATTTTTGAAAATTTATCAGTTGAGACCCCAAAATGCTGGACGCTGGTTTAACATATGGCAGTGATTAGGACACTGGTATGGGTTATATTGCAGGCACCGGTATAAGGTATATTGTGGGCTATATACCGAGGGGCGGACTGACCATTCGAGCACTCAGGCACTGCCCGAGGGCCCGGGGTCAGTAGGGGGCCCCGTGAGATGCCCCTGGTACCTTTCATTGGCTTTTTCATAGGCTTTTTTGGGTGTGGGCTAGGACACAGGGGCCCCATGATCCCCTATTGCTCGGGGGCCCCATGAGTTGTCAGTCCGCCCCTGTATATACCTATAGCATGAGGTACGGCGGTTATCAGGATGCTGTTATGGCAGAGATCAGTATGTTGCTATGGGGGTGATCAGGACACTAGTATGGGGTATGGTGGTAATCAGAACACTAGTATGGGGTATGGCAGTGATTAGAACACTGGTATGGAATATGGCGGTGACCAGGATGCTGGAAAGGCATATTGGGTGATCTTGATGCTGGTATGGGGCATGGAGGTTACCAGGATACTGGTATGGCATAGATGGGGTAATCAGGGCACTGGTATGGGGTATGGCGGTGATCAGGACACTGGTATGGTGGTAATCAGGACATTGGTATGGTGTATGGCAGTGTAATTGTGAGCACTGGGACAGGTCACAGGGTTGGCTGCATGTTTATTAATGACTACAATGGTCAGAGATCAGGGACACCGGGGCAGTGATCAGAAACACTGGGATGGCTGGCACAGCAGTCTGTGAGTATACATGCAGCCTGACAGACTGCTGTACACTCACATGCTGCTACATCAGTTTTCTCTGCTTTCACAGTGAGAGCAGAGAGAACCGATCTTTACTTTCACTTTTTGTGTTCACTATGTGGATGCTGTGATCGGTCACAGCGATCGCATAGTAAATACCATGTGATCACTCGCACACAGCGATAATGTGACCCGCTGTGTCTGGGCAATATACCAATCGCCAGGCTCCCGGGTGCAGCTGATGCGAGCTGACACACAGGTAGGTTCACCGTCTATAGGCAATGAGCGGGCAGGATTCGGTTAATAGGTTTAAGTTGAAAGTTCATAGGTGATATGTAAAGCCAATGTGTTTCGGGGGAATGCTTCCCCCTTCATCAGGGATCTGAGAAGATGCGAAAGAAGAGGTGGGACAGACCTGTGATGGTATGTGTGGTTGGAACAGGCCTGTAAGTGGGATTTAGCTAAGAGTTTGGCCCATTAGGTGCTGTCAAATTTAGAATATGACATGCCATCATGACAGCACCTAACGGGCCATACTCTTAGAAGAAACACAGTTTCACATCTGTCCCAACCACACCTATCATCACGGGTCAGTCCCACCTTTTTTCCCATTTTTTCATATCCTTGATGAAGAGGAAGGAGTTGACATAACTTGTAACTTGTGAACTGTACAGGACCTAAGGATAAATGTTGGCAATGCATTTGATCTAGGGGCATCTTCATGCATATTTTCTGAGACTTACCCAATATGAAAAAGACTTAGTCAAAGATTATACAAATATTTTCAAACTAACATTGACCTCAAACAGGACATTGACCTCAGATACAACCCAGCCTGCTTGTTACATGTTGCGCTCATTTCTAAATCCAGATACAAAGAAATCTTTAAGGTCTCATCTACAATTGCTTTGACTTTAAAACTCATTGAAGCACCTACTGCTTCAATATGCTTTTTTGATGTGTTTAAACACTTCTGTGATGCTTTAGTGATGCTTTTTTGAAGCTTTAATGAAGTTTGGCAAATGCCCTTTGTGTGTGTGTGTATTTTCTATATGTTTTAAAGGGTCCAGTAGAACCCCAGCTCAGTAGTATCCCCACTGAGCAGATCCCCAGCCTATTAATACCTCTGTTTAGCAGATCCCCAGTTCGTTGGTGTCCAGCTTATTAGTGCCCTCATTCAGCAGAGCCCCTGATCAGTAACACCAAGCTCTGCTGATGCCCCGCTCAGGAGTAACCCCCAGATCTGCTGATCCCTGCTCAGTAGTAACCCCAAGCTCTTCTCATCCTCCATTCAGTAGTAACCCCTAGATCTTTTGATCCTCTGGTTTGTGGATCCTGCTCTTTCTGGTCTTCACTCGCCTCACACTTTATTTCTCCATGCTGCACACAATGTGTGACATTGCTAGTTTCTCCTGCTCCGGTCTGCCAGTTTTGCTGATCAGTCCTCTCTCTGGTCCCTGCTCACCTTCCCTTATGGTGTTCCCATGTTACACACTATGTGGACCATCTGCTAGTTGCTCCACTTCAGTCTGGATCCTGCTCACCTTCTTGCTGTTCCATGCTGCACACCAGATGAGACATCTTCACCAGACACTCCCAGAATATATACAATATGTATTATATTGCAGCTTACCAGTCCTTAGATGTGGTGACTAGATAGCTTTATTTTTTAATTTTTTTTCCCTTTATGTCACTTGGTGATCCTGTCATCAACACACTTCCTTTCTTAGGGTGTCGGCATTTTTTCCTTTTGGGATAAAGAATTTATAATAATGAATAAAAACTGACCACTGTTACCTCTGTCAGTCTTAAATAGTTTTGATCAACCCTCTAACCGCTACTTTGCCTGAGCAGCTTGATCTTTTAAAGTAAGTTGAAATCTAAGAAAAAAACATTTAAAGGTGTAAAAACAAATACAGTATGTCATATATTGTAACTTGTCAATCCCTAGATGTGATGGCTGCATTGATTTTTATGCTTTTTTGCCCTTTATTCACTTGGTGATCTTGCCTGTAACAAAATTCCTGTCTAGGTTGGTTACACTCATTCCTCCATCCGAGGAAGACCAATGTGGCCACCCTTTGATGGCAGTTTTGTAAACCTGTGGACAGGTTAGTTTTGGACTAGTAGATTTAGAAAGACTTTATATAAGTAACTAACAAGTAGGGGTGGACTGACAACTCATGGGGCCCCCCGGGCAATAGGGGATCATGGGGCCCCTGTGTCCTTGCCCAAACTCAAAAAAGCCTATGAAAAAGGTACCAGGGGCATCTCATGGGGCCCCCTACTGACCCCGGGCCCTCGGGCAGTGCCTGAGTTTCCAAATGGTCAGTCCGCCCCTGCTAACAAGTTAATGCCAGGTCCCACCTCCCAGCTGTACACACCACCTCCCAGCGGGGAGTGACGTGCGTACACACTTCTAGCACCGTGTGACCTGCTAAGTCGGTTTTAGTGTGTGAGTTTGGAGGTGGGGCCAATGATGTCATGACTCTGCCTCCTGAGCTCCTGTCCATAGACATGCCCACAGAATGGAGATTTTCAGAGAGCTGTGACAGACTTAGAGATGACAATACTGAGGTATAATGTTTATTGAACAAACTATAAAATGGTGCATATTTTTTGAGAGATTATGAATACGAGGTTTACAAATCAATAAATAAATAGGCAGTGCATATTTGGCTGTGGAATGTATTATTTACTTTTACATCATGCTTTGCTTACATACATCAGCAGTAACCCAATCTGATTTATGTCAGTAAAAGCGAAAATCTTTTTTCAGGTAGTTTTAGCAGCAATAATCATCAAGTTTTATTATAATTCAAGAGTGCCGTGCTTTCAACATAAAAAAAAATGAACAATTATGCTTTGCAGATCAAAATATACTCTGCATATCATCAGATAAAACAAAACAAAAAAAAACAGCAAAAAAAAGAAGTTTGATTAGGCTATCCATGTCCTTGTTGAAATGCAAAACTGTCCTGCCACTGGCCAATTTCTATAAAACTCTCATTAGGAAGTAACAGCAGATGATAAATCAAAAGCCCACCTTTTAAAGCTCCTAGGAGATATAAAAGGCACAAATGAACTTTGCTCTGTATTCATTAATACATATTTAAATGTATTTTTTACATGTATTTTTTGATTACTAACTATAGAAGTACCTGAATGTGACTTAGTATCAGCCTCTTGCAATTTCTCTACTCAGAGAGGGTGAATAAGAGGGAGCCAGTCAGAAGAAGCCAATGAGTTGTGCTGCTGTGCATGGGACACACTAATAGGAGGAGAGAGCAGAGCCACAGAGAGATGAGCTTAGCAATCTGCTTTTTCTCCTTTCACTGTGCAAACACAACCTGTATGCTGTGATGTCTGGCATACAGGACTGGATGTGCAGAGATACAATGTCATACAATTTCAACTGTGTATTTAGCTGTTTGCCTGGAGTTCAAGTTGGAAAAAAAAGTTTAGTTTAAAATAAAAGACCTATCATTCTAAAATAAATATTAATGAAAACATCAAATACCACCACCTTAAAGTGGAACTAAAGGGTGAATACTTACCTGTCCAACAGTCCCTCGCATGCTCTGGCATCTTCTTCTGAGTGCTGGTGTTCAGGCCTCTTTGTTGGCCAGCAGTAGATGCACATACACAGGAGCTAGTCACCCTGGCATTCAGAGACTGGTCCGGCACTGTAACCTGAGCTGCACATGTGCAGATCAGTTTACAGTGCCATAGAAGGCAGCAGCATTGTATTGCAAAAGAGACAGTAGTGGGGGAGCCCCCACTGTCAAAATGGGGTTTCTTTTTTTCATTAAACCCACTTGTGCGTGTATACCCAGCTTAAGTGACTCTACAGTAATCACTCCTTATGCATTTTGCTGGCATTCCCTATCCTTTCCCTAGAACAGCTTCCAATACACCAACATTATGCAGTTGATTTACTAAAGACAAACAGACTGTTTACTTTGCAAGGCAATGTGCCCCAGAGTTTAGTGAATGAGGTCAAGCTCTGCTGACTTCCATCATTCAATCATGTATGAGCAAAAATGCTATTTTTCATTTCATTGTCTTTTATAGGGTATACCTTGCAAAGTGAAATTTCACCACATTCAATAAACTCTGGTCCAAATTCCCTTGTAATGTGAACAACCCATTTGCCTTTAGCAAATCAACCCTTAGGCCTGATTCACACCAATGTGTTGTGCTTTTGGTCCTTTTTGCAGTGCATCTTTGCATGCATGTTTTTACTGTTTTTATACCGCATTTTGTGTTTTTTTCAGGCTTTTTTTTGTTCAAGGGCAATTTTTGTTTTGTTGCTGGGCAGAATAAAAATGCAAAAAAGCAAAACACAGCAAAAATGCACTACATGCATTTCAGCAGCTTCTCCGTTGAACTCTACTGTAACAAAAACGCAGATTT